GCGGAAAAAGCCATAGTAAATCATGAATGCACGGTAAAACTCGTTGGCACATTTTCGCGCACGGTCGACTGCTCCGTCGAACCGGTAAATCCGACGGAATTAAATTGCCAAGAGTACCATCCGACTATTGTAAAGAGGCAAAGATCTGACAAGAAAATCCGTCACGTAGATGTTTCATCTATTCTCTCCTACCTAGGATTCAATACAGGTAGATGGACTAAAGTTCATTTGTGGATCTAAGAAGAAAAAAATCTAAACCCAATCGAAACATTCCTTTAACGGAAATCGCAAAAAGCCAACACGTGATTGAAGTAAAAGAAAATCGGATTCGCATTACAGAGAAAATGTTTTTTTACTTTAACTACGTATTGATATTTTATTTAAATTTTATGCAACTAATTTATCTTTAAATACATTACTTCTTCATGTACTGGAAATAATGATTAGTTTTAACCAAAAATATTCGCTTGAGCGATTAAGAAAAAGTATGATTTGAATTTCATTAAATATTAACTCAGCAAAAGCTTTTTAAAATTTTCACATCAAACGCTTCATGCTATTTCTAAAATTGAAAATTAATTAACAACCAGAAATAAAAAAGTTCGTTTTCATTACTTGAATTGAACTCAATTTATTTTCGAAATAAATGAAGACTTTCCATGACCCAATTCGTAAATAATAATTCAAGAAGAACTAGAAATACATGGAAAATCTCAGAACAAGTTAAAAGAAAAAATAGTTGAGTTGATGTTCATCCTCAATGATAACTTTTATAGTTTTCAAATCGATTATGACAGCATAATTCTTATTTTTTATGGCAATTTGAAGGCTAAAAGATGGCGAGAAATGGAGCCAATTTTTTCAACTGCTTGACTATCTTGCGGTCGATGAAGGAAGGAATGGGTAGAAAGGAAATGATTATGGTTACTATAGTCATAAGTCACTGAGCTTTCCTGGCATTTGAATGTATTCCATTTCACTCCTACTCAATTCTGAAAGAACTTGCGGTTACTCTTCCTTGTAATTTAGGTACTGTATTCACGATCGTCACTCTGCTTTCCGCAGCCCTTCAACCACTTCATCTTCCCTCTTTCCACCGTCTATTTGAACACGCCGGTAAACCATTATCGAGCTCGCACACACAAATCCGCTAACATCGATGCCTCCAAAATCGAATTCTATCTCCAACCTCTTATGTCTTATTTATGCGCGCGCATCGTGAATCAATTCAAGTTTATATATTTCGTTTGTCGATATTTTGTGGCCGTAGGCAAACACCACATCGTCTATCATGATCATGGAAGATACCAATTCTCTGAGGAATTTCAGAAGCTCAACCTTTATCAAGAAAATGCAAAAAATCTGTTACCTATTATTTGTATCATGAAACAGATTGATGTTCATAAATATTAATGTAATTTTTTTTAATTACTCATCTTTCATTTTTCATAGACATTCCTAACTCTTTTATTGTGTACTAAACGAATCAATAATGAAACAATCCGACTACACAAATTAAAAATGATGCACTCATAAATCAACACATCATTTTCAATTTATAAATCAATAAAAACCCGGTTTTAAATTTTTCATTTCAGTAAGAAGATTTGGATAAAATCTAATATTGAAGGAATCACTCGAGTTAAATATTGATTTCTTCATTCCAAAAATTTTTACTTATTTAAAGTAAGTACAAATGTTGTTAAAGATATCATTTAAGTATTTTTCAGGCAAAAAATTTATGGTTTAAAAGATGCAAGCCAAGGTGACTCTTTATGGATATTAGTTAATAAAGTAAATAAATAAAAATTTAAAAATAATTTTCAAGATGTACATACAGAAGTATTTTCACTTACCTGATGTATGGTGTTGATAAACCGGTATAAACTTCTACAACATCTTTTTATCTTCTTTATTTAATTATTGATGAAAAATTCAGTCAAGTATATCGTTAAAGCACGATATAAACATTGGTCGTCCATTATTCTCTATACAAGATTCTAGAAACTTTGTCAACAAGACACTTTAATGAACGAGTAACGAACAAGGAAAATCAAGTCAAGTATCGAATTTTCTCTACGCGAATAAAGCATAGCTTCAGTCAACCTTACAATATGGCATCCAATTATTTTAATTGAAATTCATTTCGTCCAATTATCTTTACTGATGTTCAATACAAATAATCAAGAAGAAAAATCATTAGGATTTGAAATCTAAAAAAAATTATTGAAGCAAAAAATATACTTAAGTGTATTATTGTATTCATTCGTCGAGAAGTAAGCGCAACTTAAGTAACATAGTTATAAATTGCTAGTAACTCTGGCGCACGTCTTTTCTACTCGACTTCTCTGCAACCCTCTGGGCATAATTTTACTTGACTCGATTTCACCGCACTTTGGAAGATTACCTTGTAATCCTTTTCATCAAAGTAGTGTCGAGAAGACATTTGATATGATGAAAATGCAAATATATTTTAAAATTTTCATTTTAATAGAAATTCTAACTGACTTGATTTTGTTTGAAACTTTTTTTTTTAAAGTTCTCTTAAGAGCATATTAAATTCACTTCATTATAAACAGTGGTCAACTCTTTCAACAAACGCAAAACAAGTATATCCACTTGTGTTCAAATACTCTTTGTGAATATTTCAATTACTATGTGCTACAGTATCAGAAAAAAACTTTTAATTGCTATTAAAACTCAACATTCGTATTGAAAAAATAATTGATAAATATAAAGAAGATAAAAAAGAAAATATACTCAAGTTTATTGGAAATTTCTTTAAAACTTATTTCATATCTACTACAGCAAATAGTTTATACACTTGTACTGTTCATTATTGTGACTTCATCAAACTACTTGAATTCAAAGTAAATATTCACTGGCAATTAGAAATTGCAATTATTACCTTTTCATGTATCAAGATGTTTAACACGATTTTTATAGAGGTAATCAGAAAGCTAACGACCCAGAATCTAGATACTATACAGGAATACTCAAAGAGTACTTGAAAGCTTCAAGTTACTATGTTCAGATGCTCTTATAAAAATTTGATTTATCTATATTTTTCACACACCAGTAGAATAAGAAAAAGTAATCTATAAGGTTGCCACGCTGCTTTTGATATTTTTTTCTTCAAGTACGTGCAATGAAATAATAATTGTGCAAAATTTGAGGGCGATCAAGATAAAAAGATACCCTGGAGAAGAACAGCTTATCAGAAAAAGCAAAGTGTAGCTGAATGAAAATAATCATGAAAAAAAATTGTGTTGAATTATAAATATTAACATTGAGCCTGCTTCTTTCGAAGTTTATTATTTACATAAATGTAGTAATAAATTCAAGATATTATAAGATTTTTGACTTTATAATCATCATGATAACTTCAAAATATTCCATTTCTTTTAACGAGAATTTATTATTGAAAAGCTCTCTAGTATTTTAATATTTCAATTAATAAATCATTTGTAAAATCTAAAATCGATTGTCAAGAAAATATCATGAATATTCTGCAACATTCAGATACATGAAATACTGTATTTTATAAACTTTGATAGCTAATTATTACTAGAAAACTATATAATTAAGTTGCAGTATGTACAATATAATTATTTTCTATATAAACGAACTTTGACGGTTGAACTTAACTCACGTCTTTATTTATTGACAAAATACTAATTAGTATTCCTATGAAAATTTCATGAATTAGTTAATCAATATATTTAAATATTCTATTATAAGTTATTCTATTTAATGGATTAAAAATTAATTATGAATTAAAAAGTAATGTAGATATATAATCTGCATGATTAATATTGATAACTATCATTGCTCTTAAGAGATAAATCTAGATTTTCAAGCCAGTGAATTTAGATTGTAAAAAGATATTATTGAAAATCTATGAAAAGTTGAATTTAAATATATGATATAATATTTTTTAATCAAGTAATACTATAATACGTTCACTATATTATTTGAAAAAAAGATTATTGATAATTGGCTTAACCTTATTAGGAAGTTCGTAACTCAAAAATGATTTATAGTTATGTAAGTTCTGACAGCTTGTTGAACAGAGTTACGTTCACATAAAAAATATCAATGAGCTTTTTTTAAAAAATTGTTGAAAGATAGATCCATTCATGAATTCTATTTGAATTTTATAATATATTAAATTTAATTAATTAATTGTTATTAAAAATGTTACTGTAGAGAATGTCAATAGCAGTTGTTGTTTAAAAAATTTATTATCTAGACAAAGCTTGTACAACTAAAACGCGTCAATCAGTAGTTATACACGAGTCGTTAATAGCCCGTGAAATTGTATAATTCTACATGTTAATTGAATTTTTTCGTATCGTTTTTGATAGTATATAATTGAATTTCAGAAATATGAAACTATCAAAGAGAATTATTATTTATTTTAAAAAACATTCAATTTTCAATTAAAAAAAAAAACCGCTATATTTTTGTAATTGTATTATTTTGATTCAACGAGTAATTCAAAGCACAGTCGATCGTGCTCCACGTGCTGGTTAATACTTTCAGCAGACGTTTCGACTGTCGGTAAACACCTTTTCTTCAAGATTAGATAATTAAACATCAATAATTTATGAAATTTAAATTAGAACACTTGATGTTGATTCTAATTACTAACTGTATGTCTTATATTAAGCGATAATTGTCCCAATTACATTATTCGCAATGAAAGTCATTGGTAATGTACTGAGAAATTAAAAATGTTTCTCAATTTATGTTTCAATATTAGGAACGAAGTATATATAAGACAAATGGATTAGTTAATTTTATTTAATTAACTAAGAATTACATTCAGTATAATAACAATAAAAAACTGTACTTCATTATAACTAAATATATGGTCGTATTCTTAGTTAATTGAAATATTATTAAAAAATGAAATGTGTCAACAATTTTATGTATCGAAAAATGAAAAATACTTCAAACTGAAATAAATATAAAAAAGAAATCACAACCAAACTCACCTCTGAGCTGGGAATAAATGCGCTTGGTCCGTCGAATACTGGCTCCGGAATTGAAAGTCCTCTATCCTGCAATGGAAATCAATTTGTCAAATCACGTAGTGGTATTTTTTCATTTGGTAAAATTTCGTATTGGTTTTTGAATACGGCTACCCACTGTGAATTCTCTTTTTGCATGTAAACATAATTGAATACAACCCTAGTTAAAATTTTTAAATAGATATTTGGATATGCTAAATTGTAATTTTCTGCTTTATTTCATTATTCAATGAATACACTGAGAAATAGCTTATCGTATATACGCACTTTAACATTAATCATCTTATTATTCTTATTAGAAAAGTAGGTTACATCCATGTGCTGACAGAATAAATAAATAATTCATATCACGAAACAAAAAAAACCGAGTCATGATCAGTGATTTTATCACCTGTTTTTCATACTTCATTCTGATCGTACAAATATTGACATAGTTGTATGACAGGTTATATTTACTTATCAGCCTGTTTACCTTAAGTAATCTTTTTTTTCGCTCAAAATAAATTTTTCCAACTTTCAACCAAATCAGTTATTAAAAAAGTTCAGAATGATGAAATTTATTTACAGTATGTTGCAGCTGTTCAATTTTTTTATCTTATTTTATGTGCAGGTGAATCTGCTACACATGAAAATAGCTCTTCCTATTTTCTGAACTTGCAATGTGCCAGCACATTCCTTACAAAGTTACCCATCTATTCTGGGAGCCTGAATCTACATTAACTAATCTTTCATTCATAACGAAGTCTATTTTACTAAAGTTTATTAAATTGATGGTTACAAAGTAAATATAATCTCATAATAATCTAAATTTTCTTCGCATAATAATCATGCAACGTCACAAGTTTTTAACAAGTGTAATACAGATACAAAAGCACATTTATTTAATTTACTTACCTTTACCATTTGAAGAATTTCCTCACATTTTGCTCGAACATTTTCAAAAGGACAATTAACACTGAGTCTAAGAATAATTGGAAGATGTAGTGTTACAAGACTTAAATACTTGTTTGATTGAGTTTGTAATCGAGGTGTGTCTAAAGCATTTCCCAAATTCAACATCCTGCCAATGTCTCCAGGAGTAATTTCAGGTTTCTCCAGAGTTTCAATGTTTTTCCCTTTATCGTGGGAAAGCTCTTCAACGTCAATAGCACATACAAAATTATCATTGAAGGATGTTTGCTGGCAAAATTCGAAATCCGCTTTTAATGAATCCCACTTTTCACTACTTGGTCCGGGTATTTCATTTGATGGCATGTCAGAATTATTCCTAGCTTTAACTCCATTATTATTTTCACATGCAGCAGCAATGCAATTGTGTTTGAATCCTTCCAATGTATTAAAAACTATTCCTCCGTCTAATGTATTCTTTGCAAACGGATCTTCTTCTACGGAAATATCGTCTACACGCCATCGCCCACGGGTATCATGCTTGAGTCTTGCAACTTTTTGTTTATTTTGCGAACGATAATTTCCATAATTAGTATCTAAGAAACTTAAATTTTCCATGTTATCGTCAAACTTTGGACTTTTACCATAAATTTTCGTATCTGAATCTTGATCATCATTTTCAAGTTGTTTTTGTTTTGCACCCTTCATTTTTCCCAGACGATATTTTGTTTCTTCTGACAAAGATTCGTTCAATTTTTCAATTGATGAACAGGCAAAAATCATATTCTCACTTTCGCTACTGTCACTGAAGCTTATATCAGCTTCGTTCAATTTTACCCCTAATTCAAAAGCTTTTACATCTTCACTTTCATCCAAAGAGGAAGATAATGCCAGCTTGTAAATTGCCGTTTCTCCAATTGAATTTCGATGTTCTCTATTCTTTGAAGTACCAAAACACGAATGTTCACGTCCAAAAACACCATCAATAGGATCAATGGAATATGAGGGAAGCGAGGAACATTTAATTGGACTTTCAGGGAAAAAGTTTTCTGTTTTGAAAGATTTTTGAATATAACGGCGATTTTTACGGTAGGATTGGTAGTAATACTGATGGTCTACACGTTTTGGAACGTTTTTTGTTGGCGATCTTTTTACACTGAAGTCATTCCTGAAAAAAAAAATTTTATTCGTTAATAACACATTACTTCTGAAAAAAAAATATAATTGTGATATTTAAATTAAATTTAAGTCCAATTTACCTATTGATTGATCCTTTTGATACTCCAACATAACTTCTTCGATTTTCTGCGTCATCATCGTCTTTCCAAATGTCTGAACTTGCCAACATATCAAGCCACTTCTCAACGGTATCATGAGCCGTGGCAAAAGTAATACTTCTTGATTCTTCATCTCGTACACATTAAGGAGCTAGAATAAATCCCCAATTATTAATTCACGATTGGTTATTATTATTGAATAAATTTTCCAAAATGACAAGATATTCATTGCATAGCTTTTTTATTGAATGTTAAATAATTAAAGAAGAAATTTTTAAATTAGAATGTTTTAATTGCTCTAAGATCTATTTTTTGAAAAAAAATTTAAGGACCAACATTAAATGACTCCAGTATATGAACTAATTATCAAAGAATGTTTGTATGGCTAATTGTTTGAGTTCACGAAATACAAAACTTGAAAATGCTCAAGCATGATACCATTTTCTAGACTATTTCAAGAATTTTTATGGAAGTAGCGTTTCTTTAGAATGTTATTTCTTTGACATTAAAACAAAATACTTGAAAGGATACATTTAACAAACTGATATATTTTTACGAAATGTGGCAGACAGATTAAAATAAACTTTACGGTCAATTAAGTAAAATAGTAATAAAATAGTCATTAAAAAAATCATATCTTTATCAATAGAATTAAACCTTACTTTTTTATCAGTAACATCCCATTACAATTTTCTATTCATGAATTCAGATCTTTTTTCTCCACTGGTGAGTCTCAGGAAGTAATTTCTGTAACAAAAAAAATGACTCCTTTAATGTACCTGAAGTTTTGATTGTTGAAAAAAGAAACGATAACAACTAGGAATAAAAATGAAATTGGAAATATTAGTTTGAATACGATATCAACAATAGTCTTAAGATTTGTTCTACTGATTTTTCAACATCTTCGAAATGCTTTAAAATTTTAGCCGAGTTTAAAGTTTGAAACTATCCAATACATCAAAGGAAGTAATAAATTCAGATACATAATTACATGGATTTGGGGAATCATTCACAAGTCATGAATCACAGCTCCAGTCGATTACCTTTTCATACCGAGTTCAATTTCATTTGAAGTCAATGTTGATTTCATGACGCGCCCATTGGTGAACCGAAGCATAACATACTTTTCTACCATTAGCCATTACCAATGTAATCATTAAGGGCTTCAAAGTAAAACTACATATTGCAGCATTGCTTGTATTTACTTTTTTTTGCAGTCATGTATTTGCGCTTAGTAGTAATCGCTATTGCAATTGCGATTACAGTTACAAGGAGTATTATCTTTAAATGAATGCTCTGTGTATAGGTGACCTAAACGTACATCCTTTAACTTCATATCCAGATGTTAGTAATAAACTTTGATAAAATGGGTAAAGTTATACTCGTAAAGAAAAGTTATTAAGACAGAAAATTGTAATATGTAATGAAAGATGCATCGTTCTTCACTTATTTGCATCTTCTTTTTGTAGTTAGACAGAAGTTGATTAAAAAATATCATTTGACTTCATCCAATCTCAAAACTTTTATTACTTCTAGTCTGCAGAAGTCTATCAAGAAATCATTTTCAATCATGTAAATAATGAAAAATAAAAATACATTGCATAAATCAAATCAATAACTCTTGAAATTATTATTTGTTTTATCGCTGGTTTTATCTATCAAAAAAACCCTGTCTGTACGACTTCATATCTTGTTCATTGCTTCATATATTTGTAAGACACAAAAGTAACCAAATTAAGTATATTACTTATTATGTACAGCAAGTTTTTTTCTAGATAACAACTCGGTACAACTAAAAACGCTTATACGGAAATTTTAATAAGATAAAATGTGTTTTTGTAGAAAATGTGATATACATTTATTGACTTTATGTCAACCTGTCAAAACCACACGAGATAATCATGGCAATTATTCTAGTTATCGCTATAAACAACTAAAAAGATAGAATATTAGAAAATCATAGAGAACACTCATTGAGTTATTACTTTTTTTCATTCATATATTTGTAGATCATACAATAAGCTAACATGTCAGCAATAAGATTTATTAATCATGAAAGGAGTCTAAAGTAATTTTCGTTGGAGGTATAGTTTAATGAATTTACCAAACTTATTTTGTTACCTTAGTTTTGTAAAATATACTAGCCTTGATAGTGTATATATTGGTTATTCTATAGAACTAAGTTTTATTCAATTGAATTGCGAGATTAAGTAAGTTCAGATTACTTCGGAGACTATCTCAAAATTCATAACAACGAATTAAATTATGATTCAATTCATCATGTTGATCATTATTGATATGCAAAGTACAATTAATCGCTCTATATAACAATTATTTATAATTGTAACATCGTTATCTTTAAAAAAAAAATGAATAATTCTACCTAGAATTGAATTAATTTTATTTAATTTATGAAAAACATGAGTTGTGTAAGTTTATAACTGAAAGAAAATAATTTACAAAGTTTGTACACATTTAACACTTAACAGCTACTTAAACGCATCACTTGTGTCTAATTGAAACCGCTGAATTTACTTAGGAAGATTGGTACGCATCAATAACTCTCAAAGATGATGGCAAATATTGGCAAAATAGAGAAGTTTGTGCAATATACTTTCCAGGTCGTCAGCCCCATGAAAATGTGATCAATAAGGTTACCACGTAAACTGCGTGTTCATGTTTTTAAGTGACCACATAGCAAAAGTGCACTTTCCTGCGCTTCTGCACGCAAATACCGCATGTATGGAATAAATGAAAGTTCTTGTTTAGATTTACTGATTAATAAGGAAGTATATTAAATTCAAATGAGTAACATTTATTTTAAGGCGTTTGCCGGATGATTTTTTCAAGCACATGTGTTACAAAATATGCCTTTTTAAATACAACTTACCACTTAGTGTCTTACTAATGTTCCTAAATTATACAATTTCGTGAGAACTTAACCTCGGCAAGTGAGAATTTATGAGGAGAGAAAACAGTAATTGGCATTTCACAGAAGTGTGCTCGTTAGTAACCGAGTAAATATGATCGCGCACTGTAAGGTTTCGCAGTAAGCCAAGCGCAAAGGGATGATGAACCCATGTACGTTTCAATGATTGTGTTTATATAGAGATCGAGAATTATTATTTATGATAGTATCAGATAATAACCATTTGCTTTTAAACACCTATTGTATTTTGAATTTTTTATTTCTTCAACTTTCACTGCAAAATTTTTTATCTTTTTTGACCTTTTTTTGTAGCTTCAGGCAGCATGAACTGCACTTCCACACAACAATTTTATATATTTATTATGAAGCAATATTCGATGCTTGTTGATGAAAAAAAACTGATTGGATCAATTGATTTATTCCAGCTTTAATTGCTATTAACACTTCTTTGATAATTTATTAACTGGTTTATAGATTACTTTGATGCATTTTACAGTTACAGTTCAACGAGATTGTATTTACTGATATCAGATAATATTATAGTGTTATGTGAGGTGTTGAAGAGATTTAATGTAAGTAGCTTTAATAGAAATAAAAATTAGTTAAAGACTGCATTGATTTATTTATTGATTAGTCGAACGATTGTTGATAGAGATAACATAATCTTAATTTCCAATCGTTTCAAAAACCAGATGTGTGAATCCCCTGACCTTCAAATAGCAAACCTAGAACTTTCTTCGAATATTTTTAACATTGTTTAAAATAACTCGACAGTTAGAAGAATTTTTCTCTCAGTTTTATCAACTCGAAATTATCTCAAGACATAAATTAACTAGTCGACTGTGAAATTTTTTTTCAAATCATTTTAATTACAATTTTTCTAGATTTACGATGAACAAACATAATGATTATCCATAATTATAAATTAATTCCGTACTTATCGTAATTAATTAAATTAGAAAGTAAAATTCTAATGAGTTAAAAAATTTTCTTGCAATTTTTCTAACGATGCTAGTTAAAAATAGAAGTAGTTAAACGTATTGGAAAGATAACATATCACTTATAATATATTGTATGCCTGTATTTGGATTTGTAATTGCATTCATGCGGGTCCCTCGCATTACATAAATTTCTACAGATGTCTATTATCAATTAATTAGAAGAGGTCACATGGTTCATTGCTCATCAATTCTCCTATCTCTCATATATATTGAGTTGAAACTAATATGTTGTGTTTATGTACTATCGATTACTTCAAAGTAAACACAACTATTATCTATAAAAAATAAAAACACTTAGAAACAAGAAATTCTAATTTTACTAGGGTGTAATTGCATTCAATAAAATAAAACTATTATAGTTATCATCCATCTGAACGAAACAGTTTTATCATTTGCTTGTTACTTCATGGCTTTGACTATTCAACTGGTACTAAACATAGGTCAAAAAACTCTGTGCTTCAATCTCTCGCTTGTTTTACGTGAACTTTTTGTCTGCCCCAGTTTCCATCACTGCTCACTTTACTTTGTTCCTATTTTTTTTCATTGTAGTCTTTATACTGAGGTATACTTTCAGCCTAATATGAATGTACTTTAAATACTATATGAAAATTACAACAATATCAAAAAAGACTTCTCGAAAAAATTAAAACAAAAAAAAAAATTTACTTCTTTTAATTGGATATTATTAGACTGGAAACTTTTGAAAATTCTATCTGTAATGAAAATCTTATCATATAATTTTTTTATCACAAATATACATCATATTTATATTAATTAATATTGATTAAACTAATAAAAATTACTGTTTGATTGTGGTTTGTAATAATATCTATTTAAATAAAATTTTTAACATTTTTTCCTCTCATGTAATGGTGTTGAAATCAATCTAATAAATATAAATTTTTATACCAATCGAAAAAATGATATCAAGTCGAACAATCGAGTTGGATATAATAACATCCGATTTTATGAGGTCATTCTTAAGACTTAATAATTTCACATCCGATTGGTTTTGATAATTTTTGCCAGGTCACTAAATCTAATTTTTAAATCGCTATTAATAAAGTATATTTTCTAAATATTACATTCTCAACACCTCTACTAGCAATTTCTTTCATAAAAATAACAATTACATCAACTTTCACGACTTAACAAATTCTCTTACTTCCCTAGTAATTATTCATAGTACAAAAATCTTGAAAAAAAAACTCTAGCTCTTATAATACCATCAGCAATCTCAACACCACATTATGTAATAAAAAATAGTGCATAGACCATTTTACCAGTGATTGATTATTCCTTTAAGTGCTTTGGTACATGATTTTGACGTTGAGGCAGCGTAAACACAAATCACCTTTTCGCTCAGTAAACTGGAACCCAACGATCTCCAATCCGCTACGCATGAACATGTATAGAGCTATATAGATAGTGGTAGCTGTATGCATCCATGGTCATTGCATTGATTTTGACTGATACTAGAACCCACTTACTAGTACATGTACAAAATACTGATGTCAAATGGAGTAAATTTATTGAATGTCTATATAAATGTCATTTACCCATTGAATTCATTTTTTTATTGTATTACCTATATTACTCAATCAACTCAATCCTTTAAAATTCATTTTAAAAATCGATAGATAATAACATTTCTCTCTATATTGGATTTTTTTTCCATTTATTCATTTGAATTAATTGCTGCAATATATTTTAATAATTGTATTTACATTCTAATATTTCCAATATAGATAAAGCCCTGTTGAATTTTATTAATAATTTATTGATAAAAATGATATTTAACTTATTTATTTTCTTTA